CTTGAATAGCAGTTTCCCTGACACCAAGAAAAGTCCTCTTGAAATTGGGGTATGTTTCAAAAGCAGTTTGCGATATAGCATAGCGATCTACCATTTAAAGAAGACAATATCTTATTCAGCATGACCAGTGTCCTTAAGATAATTCTGTTGCTCACAGCCAAGATGAAAGAATTCTCCATGGGAGCCAAAACTGTGAACAAAGCTGAAATAAATAAACTAGTATGAATACAGTAATGAAAGTAGAAACATATGTAGAAAGGCTGAAATACAGGGGGAAAGGTAACTTACTGAAATACTAAAGATTGAGGGCAGGCATACCAGAATGATGAAAGCCACTTTGAGTTGTTTAAAAACAGAAAAAAGTGGGATATAAATCTAATAAATAAATAAATAAGTGACAGGTTGAGGGAAAAAGTGGCTAGTGCATTAGATCACACTACATATTTATTAATAGTTCAACTGGAGTATAATCCTATGGCCTACTGACATTCTCTGTGGGCCTATTGGTTAGATCAGAGTCTCTGCTCAGATACATGGGATCAAGATGGGATTCAGATTCAGCCTCAGTCTCAGCCTCTATCCTCATGAGGGGAATATTTAGACAGCCCAAATGAGGCAATGCAATGCTCCAGAACAAAAAGGCAACATGGAGGCAAACCTTACTTCTCCTGCCTTCCTTAGGAGGCACATAATGCTCCAAGTTCTGTGGGCTGCAGGCAGTTAAATCATTAGCAAATGCAAACAAACTGTCTAGCCTGCCCAGTCACAGATATATGCAAAGTCACTCAGAGCTGCACAAAAATGGAGGTAGCAGAACTTTCTTCCAACAGTTCCAATTAGATTTTGACATTGACTTTTTATAAATCTGACATAAAAGCTGCTTAAAATAGTGGCTGATTTGGTGGTGGTGGTGGCAGTGAGCATTTTTTTCCTCAGTGCCTTGAGACAGCGCTTAATCTTCCTATGCAGTGTTTGTTCACAAGTATATTTTAAAATACGTGCTTATTTAGTGTATTCTTTGGCAGGTTTATCACCTTGCTTTAACTTGCTCTCCTAAAACCAGCAATACTGTTAGGAAAGCGATATGTTGACGAGATTTGTTTACACTTGTGTGTGTGTTGAGGTCAGGAGTTACAGTGTAACATCATAATACGGAAAACCTTGTTTTGAAAAGCAAAATGCAGACACAGGCAATCACACTTTTGAATGCCACTTAAAGTTAGCGTTTCCTTTGATTCACTTGGAAGCGGGGGACCCACCAGTGAACTTATACGTCCATTTTCACCATGGTACTGCCAGGCTCTCAAGCCCCTGCAGACTGTTACTTTATTTTTAAGATACGTTGCTGTTGCTGCTGCTGCTGCTATATAGCTGAGATGCTAGCATGCTGCAAAAGCAGCCCTTCTGCACCGTCTGTTTTTGTGTTCAAAAGAATGGTGTGGTTGTGTTGAGACCCCACCTCTGCCTTGTACTTGGGCAAGTTATCTTTTTCCGATTTCATCACCTTTCCTTCTTGGAAATTAGTGCATTATTTTTACCAGCTGTGTGCACCAGGGCAGCCATTTTAGTAATTAGTAAGCCTCACCCAAAGGCAGGCATTTTGTGAGAAGGCACACAGCACTTGCTCACAATTCCTAAAGTGCTCACCAGCCCCAAAAAGTTTGGGAATGCCTGATTTAGATTCAGTTCCATTGTGGTTATTCTCCATTGGCACATGTTATACTAGTGAAGAGGAACTGTTCTAAGGGTGTGTTTATTAAAACTAAGTTTGACATTTTTAAGAGAATTCCAAAGGACTAATTTAATTTATTGTTGTTTATTTAGCATACATATAAGAAACAGATTTTTAATATTTAATTAAAATATAGAATTCAATATTCAATTATATGCACTGACTTTTTTCCATATCTTTTGGAAGTCTGGGGCTGTATTATGCTATATACACCCCCAATCTTATATTCTTATGTTTAATATTATTTTTAATGAAGAAGATTGTCAGAAAGCCATACATTCACAAGCTTATAACGTATTCCTTTAAAAAAAAAGGAAAGTATGTTCAACAATGGAGAAAATGTGTGCATTTCCAAAATACATACAAACTCAGTTTAGTTAACAGCTGCATGTGTCTGGAAATACACATATTTTAAACTTCACAGAAAAATGTACACACTCATGTGCACTTTATGAAAATGTCTACAGATTTCCACAAGGATATATTTCTTTAAATAAATTGCAATTTTGGGCAGAAACAGATGGAACAAACTTGCCCTAATAAAAACTGACAAACTTGGCAAGACTGAGATTGAAAAATACTTCCATACATATCGTTGCCCTCTGCCTTTTATATTTAGATCTGCCTCAGATCTGAGAACAAGTACATACCTACATTTTATTATTCATATCCACATTTTTATTATCATTTTAAAAATCCCACAATTTTTCTTCTTATAACGAACATGAGATCCTTTGCATGGTCCTCCTTTCTATTTTATGCTAACAACAACCCTGTGAGGTAGGTTAAACTGGAAGTCAGTGACTGCTCCAAAGTCACCCAAAGAGCTTACGACTGAGTGGGGACTAAAATCAGGAGATTTCCAGTACTCTAACCACTAATCTATGTTGGCTATCAATACGCACACATCTAATTGTAACAACAGCTAAGTACAGAAAGATGCATATGTAATTTCTCCCAACAACTAGGGTCAGAGGAACCAAGTGAGAGAATTTATTTTTCAATTTCAAGAATGAGGATGGATTCAGTCGGCTGATTTCTCTCTTCCATTCTGGTCAACCTCAGTGTCAGTTATCTATCATATCCGCCATAAACATCTGATGAAAAGGAGAAAAGGAGGTGGGAGTCAACCTGTATAATGGTAACACTTTACACTGAAACCTCTGTGATTCAAGTATATGTAATCTGAACTCAAGTTCAAATCTATAAATAAACCTGGTTTAATAGAATGCCCTGCTATTTAAACACTACAAATCATTATGGAGAAATGGGTAAGAAAAAAACCCTCTAATGAACCTTAATTATCATAATTGTCTCAGTTCTAAAAGATGATTTTGCCTTACAAGCACTCTGGAACATCTTTAAAACATCCTTGAAAACAATCCAAATGAAAATTAAAATATTTTTTCTGCCTTGAATAAAGCATATTATTTAAATTTCAGTTATTTTGTGCTGCACATACATGTAAATAAAGAAGTGCTTTGAAAAATAAGATTCTAAAACCTTATTCCTCTCATGCAAGTGTATTCTAATTTGTTTGATTATTCACCCCTCCAATTATACAGTCCAGAGCAATCAACCAAACGAACTACTTATGTAGTTCCTTAATAACTGTTTAATTTGAATTTCATGTATCCAATTACTTTGTCAGAATTCTTTTTTCTTGTGAACCTCATATACTACTTCCAAGTTTGGAAACTGACATGTACAGGTCTACAGTTGGTGTGATCTAGAATATGCTCCCTCCATGAGACTGGGCCCACCATCTTCTGTGACATACACATGAAGCCTTCCAGAATGAGGGGCTTCCCTACTCACTTCAGTAAGCATGCAAGGTCATTGCTTCATTCAAGGGCATGGGGACAGCCCTGAAGGTGCAGAGGGTTCAGTGTGGCAAGAGAGCCACCCACGGCAAACAATAAACAAATCCGAATGAGTTCTAAATAATTCAAGTGCACATACATCTTAACAACTCTTAGGGAGCAATCCAAAGGCCACTTAAGAAACTGTTGGAAGTCCTGTAAATGGTGATCTGCATGGAGGGAGCAAGGCAAACTAAATACTACCTGAGAAACACCAGTGGTACGTTAAAAGAAAACCCTTTGGATGCAGAAGAAACTCTGGTTGTGAAGACCAAGATGGGCATATGTTGGGGCACACAAGAATCCACAGTTCTTAAGCCTACTCATTCCATTGGTACGACTCAACAGTAGGTCTTACTGGAGCTAATACAGTTAATTTCCTCCCATTGGCCAACACCAGGAGAAGGGAAGGAGATCAACCCAACCCCAATGTGGGGAAGTCAGCTTTTAACTCCTGCCTTAACCAGAGTGAGCTCTGATAGATTTCATTCCTGTACTTTTGGGAAACAAGCCACATTGAAAACAGTAAGAATCCTTCCAACTAAGCACACTTAGAATCATGCTGTTAAACAAGGTTCTTATCTTTTAAAAAAAGTGCATGCCTCATGTCAGAAAATAAAAGCTGATTGTTTACTTGTTATACTAACAACTTAGAAAAGTAATGTTAATGATTATTCTACTTTAATGTGCTGTTAAAATGATTTTAAAACATAATCTTATAGGTTCTTCAGGAAACAACATTTTGGGATGGGACAATGATTTTGAATGTCTACTTGTTGCATGTGAAAATGGAAGTAGCATTGTATTTTGAATGTCATTTTGTTAAAGCCATTTCTTGCTACCTTTGAAAACTCCTAATACTATTCTTACCTATGACTGCCAAACACGTGTTGAAGAAAGAAATGAGAATTGAATTTTATTTTATTCCACTAGAGGGTGGTGTGTTGAAAGCAGGGTTTTATCAGTAAATGTGTACAGTAAATCCAATTTTTCTAGATCTGACCTGTTGATTATCAAATCTTTCTATATTTTTACTTCTCTCACTCTTTCTAAAACCAATCTCCTTTTGAAGAATATCTGTAAACAAATGTTTGCAATAAATACATTATTTTAGAACTAACAGGTTTAAGATCTTTACTTTGCACTAAGTATATTTTCATGTTTGTTCTAATTTTGTATCTTTTAATACTACGCTGTCTGAAAACCAATAGAAAAATAGTTGATTGACATACTTCAATCCCAACCCACAACCACCCCCCCCACTGGACTGTAGACATATGAGGAAAAACCATGCTCTAATTTTCTGTGTGTGTCCAACTGCTTACATAGTCCACTGATGCTTTCTTTGTTCAGAGACTCCATCTTTTAAATTCAGAAATATTTTCCTGACAATCTATGTACACTGCAAAATATACTGGTTAAAGAACAGAGAAAAGATCTAGTACAGTGTAAGATTAGCAAATATATTCACAACTGTTTAAAAAAGTGTTCCTTTTCAACCAGCAAGGTGATGCAACCTGAGCAGACGTTTACCTAGTTTTGTCCACTCTTTCTGAACACTGCCTTTGCACACCCATACAGATTCGATATGTAGTTTGGTGCTTTACACAGAGGAGGATAATCATACCCCTTCCACATATTGGAAAGAATGCCAGGAAGCAGGGAATGGGTTGCTCCGTGTATTTGTACCCCAAGCAGCAATGTCATCTAACAGACAGGTTGTCTCGACCAACCAGGCTGAAGCAGCTGCGAGTGCTACATCTTGGCACTCTAAAGCTATTGGCTCCTCTCTGGGGAGTGGAGGGTGTTCAGTTATTAATGACCGCTGAGCAGGCAGCACCATGTCAGTGTGACAACTGATCGGGTGAACGATGCACCGCTAACCACCATGGAAACACGGAGAAAGAAGACGAAAAGCTAGCAGGCAGCTCACTCTCTCGCTCTTTCTCCCCTTCTTCCTCCGCTGGATTGTGAGCGTCTGTCCACCAGTGACAGAGCTCTGGAAAAAGTAACGGATCACATCCTGCTGCACAGAGCTGCTCTCATATTTCAGGATATACAGAGACAACTGTGACACACTATCTGTGCATGCATCGACTCAGCTCCCTGCCACGAGCATCAGTATGCCATTACCTGAAGTACGGAATCCAAATACACAGGAGGGGTCCGGGACTGAAACAACTCTTGGAGGGTAAGTGTCTTCTCTATTTTCAGTTGTGCTTCTGTGCTTTTCATTGTTTATGCGTTTCCTATCCTTTTTGTTTCGGTTTAGTTTAAATTCTGATAGCTCTCCCACCACCACCACCAGCACCAGCACCACACTGCCTTTCTCCATATTTTACTCTTTTGGACAGAAATACAAAGGAGCCCCTGTCTGCCCTGATCCACCCACTGCCTCCACCAAATCCTCATTAATCTGATTTTTTTTCCAGGACTCTTAGTTGGTGCTTTACTAACCTGACAGAACAGCAAAGGGTTTGAATAGCCTGTTTCTCAATGCCTTCAGAACACAAGGAAACAGCATACTTTGTGTGGGGAAACCAATTACATGCAATACTGGACAGCCTTTTTCCCAACCCCCCTCCCTCCCTCCTCCCCGACCTTCCACTAGCTGGATTACAGAAAATGCCACTGTATGTCACGGCAGGACCTAAAAGCCACTGAGAGCAAAGGCTGAATGAGAATATCACAAACAGTTATTGAATTTCTGCCAGACTACATTTCCAGGATTGTAGCAAATGACTCCCCGCCACCCCCATCCTCACCCCCTTCTCTCTCTCTCTCTCTCTCTCTCTCTCTCTCTCTCTCTCTCTCTCTCTCTCTCTCTCACACACACACACACACACACACACACACACCCCTGACCATCAGAAAGGCCAGAATGAATGTCTGATTACTAATGCAGCTGCAACTGACACATGGAACTGAAAAGGATAGCATTAACAAGAAGGCTTTAAGTCTTCCATGGGAATTCAAAGCACCATGGCACTGTGTCTCCAAGTGCATTCTCCTTTTCAGAACACTGTAGGTTCAGATTCAGTGTATTACCATTGCCTGCCCCCCTCACTCTTGCTCGCTCGCTCTCTCTCTCTCTCTCTCTCTCTCTCTCACACACACACACCATGCACAAACTGCTCAGTACTGTTTGCTTGAAAGCAATGGTGGGGGAGACCCCTCTGTCTGTTAACCAGAATTGCCATTTGCAATAAGCAAAACTCTGCGCTGGAAAATAAGAGAGAAAGAAAACCTATGAAGTAGTTAACAAGCAAAGCTTCTCCGGCTAGCTTGGGGTGGGGGGAGCAAGAAACAGAGAGAGAAGGGGGAACAGAGGTAGATGGAGGAACAGAATTGACCTAATGTAAGCAGAACCTTGTTACATCCCTTAACATTAAAATACACCCATTAAAGTACGACAGCAGACATGAATCAGAAAGACTCCTGTTAACATCAGCTAGATTAAGAGATAGCTCAGCTGAGGGACAGTGAGGGCAGGGGAGAATAAGGAACAGCAGCTGAATATTTTGGAAAAAATGTAGTTTTTTAAAATGTTTACATATAGAGCTTCTGCAAGTTTGTAAGAAAGCAACTGAGGCATCACACATCTCCTCAAACATCTTTCCTTTCTTTTCCACATGAAACACCAGAAGAAACCTGCCCCCTTTGCCAGCCCCACCCCCAAAGTGCCAACGCACTTATTTTCCTGGGCAAGTCAAACCTGAAAGTTAATCTTGGTTCTGCAGTGTGCAATACAAAAAGGAAGAAAGGAGAAAAAACACCAAATGCGCAAGCCATCTTTCTCACACCTGTCACTTTCTTTTAAATATGTCAGAAAGTGGGGGAGCTTAGCAACATGTTGGGTGAAGTCAATTAATTCAGTTGACCTTTCTAAATGATGGCAATAAAGCAGCTCCACAATATGCAACCATGTTTGATTTTTCCTCAGATAATGAAGGAGTTTAAGGCAATGGTCCCTTTTGAGACAGGAGAAAAGGCATTGAAGCATTAGCTCCTGTTATTGGCAAGCTTGCTTGCCATTCTTCAAAAAATGCTCAACATATTTTATTTTCCTCCTCTATTTTTTAAAGATACTCCAAACCTGATTCATTATGTAGTAGCAAGTAATGGTTGAATTAAATCTACTTTCTCTAGAAGTGCTACATTTTTCTTTCTGCTTTCAGCACATGCTAATATGTTACACTGCAGTAATGAAATAAATCATACCGCATTTTTGGGTGATGTATTTAATGCACTGCTTGCATGAAAGCAGGGTCAAAGCAGTGTGGTGTGCACATACCAATACATACTCAGGACTTGGGTGACTCATTTTTACGTAATCAATAACATTCCAAAGTACCTTTGGTTAACTTTACGCTTGCTAAGCTTCATTATTATCCATTGTGCTATTTTTTACTTCAGGTAGATTGGGCAGATACTATTAAAGTATGCCAGAGCTCTTCAAAATACAGGTTAAGCAGGTTTTGTCCTGTAAAAAGAGCAGCTGTCAAAGCAAGGTAGTTTCACCAGATGTGACAGCAGATCCTGCCTTTTGAAAAACATACTGTAAAACCTGTTGGGATAATGCAATGATATATCCTAAAAAGGAGGACTTCTACTTTGCATGCCTCTTTCTCAGAGATAGTAGATGCTATAATATTTGAAGTAACCAAGTGCAGGTCCTTATACTTTAGAGAAGTATCACTTTGTTTGTTTTTAATGCAGCTGATAGAAGCACCTTAGATATACCTTCATGGGAGAAGCTAACAAAACACTAGTGGGCTGATCACCAAGTTAGTATTGCAGAGAATAAAATTGTGGTTAGGAGAGCCAATATATTTGTGTTAGAATTGCTTCCTGAAGCCGGATGCACCAATGGGTATGGTAGCAGGCAATATTGGAAAGGGGAGGGGATGGAGGGCTATTGCTTCTTCAGTCCCAGCAAATAACTTGCTTTTATAACAAATGCGTATGAACTGGAATCATTGGACTTTAATAACTGGGGTCAATCACTGTTTCATCTGTTTTCTCCAAACTGGTTCTTCACTAACATGTAATATTATCTACTGTCACTTCTAGAAAGGGTCCTGAAACTTTTTGGCACATTTTATACACAGAAGACCATCAAATAGGTAACTGCCAGGCTGAGCGATGTGAAAGAATAAGAAAAGGCAGATTTGTGATTATCTTTAAAAAGTGATAATTGAAGAATGTACAGTTTGTAGAATTTTGTTCAGGGGGTTGCAATGCATGCATTGACCAGTAATTTTTTAGATTCCTTGTTTAATAGCAAATTTTGGTGATGAAAAATATAAAAGACATTTAAGGTGTTCTCAGGTACACACTGTTTGAAAATACAAACTTCTAAAATAGGACAATAAAAATGCAGCTTTGCATACACAGAAAGAAAGAGATTTTAAAAGAACATTTTGCTAACCTTTATTGATAGTATAACTTAATCAGTAATGGGAAGTCACAACCAATGCTACTCTGTGGCTCATACAGAAACAAGTTATCACACTTGAGGGGAAATTGTAGCATCCCATTAAATGTTTTGTATACTGAGGATAAAATTCAGTTGCAGTGAGAAGATACAATGTTGGGTTATGCCATTTAAAATGTCCTTTGATTTTTAGAATGCTAAAGAGTGAGCTAGTATCGTTTTTTGTAAGATAGGATAAGAGAAAACCCAATCCATGGCATTAACTGCTTGCCATTGCTGATTGTAAACAGGAGGATATAAACAGAAGGGTGTAGTAATGGCCACCAATTTGGATTGGACACATTCATGGAGAAGAAAGCTATCAGTGGTTACTAGCCTTGTTAACTCTGTGCTACCTCTGTTATCAGAGGAAGGATGCTTCCATACACCAGTTGCTAGGAGGAGCTTGGGCAGGCAGAGAGCTTGTACCCATCCCAGGCAGCTGCTCTGCTACTGTCTGAATGGAGTGTTGGATTGGATGAACCACCAGTCTGATCCGGCATGGGTTTTCTTATTTTCTTAATTTTTGTCCAACCTCTTTGAGTTACTTTAGGTATTTTCAACCAGTGGGAGCAAAAAACCCCCATCATTTCAGTCATGGTGTAATGCAACCACTGGTATATTGCAGTGTGCTTTCTGCTGCTCACTCCTGATAGCTTAAAAACTTGCCAATGCCATATTAGAGTTATTCAGGATAGTCCCCCCATGCTTCAAGAAAGTTTCCTGGCCTGTCCAGGTTGACACATGCTCAGAACATAGTCTACTAGCTCCAGAGTAAAGCTAGCAATTCTGCATGTCCCTTTAAATAGCAAATCACTTCAAACCTTATGACCTGGATGTTCTGATATTTATGGAGACATATTAGCTGTCAATTAGCTCTCTGGATTATACACAGCAATTTAATCAACAGCAAACATACATCAAATAATACAATAAAAATGAATCAAGCACAACATCAGCACAAACATTGCAAACACATAAAAAGGGCTACATTAATCTGATAAGAATAAACATGCACAAATCAAAATGCTGTCAGAGGTTACAACTATAACAAGTACCAGTTAAAAACTTAGCTATATAGAAATGTTAAAGGACCAGGAGGAACAGTAGTGTCTTTCCCTGCAATGAAAAGATGTCAGTGTAATTGACAAGAAGGCCTCTCTAGGGAGAGAACTGTACAGCTGGGACCACCTGCAAAAAGAGCCTCTTCTGTCTTGTCACCCTGCAAACTTCAGATCATATCCCTTCACTACAAACATATACACTGTAATGCCTAATCCTACCTCATACTGATGTGATAAACCTATGTCTGGACTGTACCACTTTAGATTGCAGTTAGAGCTTACCTGAATAAATCTTCCTTTAAAAAAAGAATCACTTAAAATTCCTCCACATAAAAAAGACACCTAGGAAAAGTTTCTAGCATAGCCATCTTCCTGACACGCTTTAAAAAAAAATGGGTTGGAGGGTTGGTCTTTGTCTCATAGAAAACACTCTTTTATGTGTTCCTTCACACTCAGTTCAAACAGTCAGACAAGACATGACTTTCCCACCTTGGCAAGAAGCAGGTCTGAAATACTTCCACATAGTCACATGTACAGCCCTTCTCTGGGTTGTTTAACACTTGGGGCCTTGAAGCATGAGCCAGCTACCATTCTGCATATTCAACCCTCTGTCAGAAGTTTCTGTGTCATGTGAACTTGGCTACTGTAAAC